TAAGGTAATTACCACGAGAAATTTCTAAGACAGTGTGACAATATTACACATGCTAGTGATATGATGACGGAGTGATGTACTAACCAATTGGACCATCAGCGATCAAACCTCGCTGTACCAAGAAGGTCCAGGTGGAGAGCTGTAGAACAGAGAGAACACACATTTGTTCATCTAAACAAAGAACGAGGTTTCACACCTCTATTTATAGAGTAAGGAATCCTCTCTAACGTGTCCTAATAGCGGCACTAAATCTTCTGTCTTACTCGTTATGAGTAGAACAAATTCTTAAGTATTCCACGTGTTAAGATACGCGACCAGATTTTTTATCTGCTATAAAGAGATCAGATTCCACATCCATCATACGATGGTATTCAGGACAGTATCATATAATCATTCGTGGCACTTTGCTGCTGGATCACATTGTACAGGATTGAACCCTTTGTGTATTCATATGTAGAATTCAAGTGCCAGACCTTTTCTTCTGATATAATTTCCACATTCAGTGATTGCCATATCTATCTCCTGCTATCCCCCAACAGTTACCATTCATGGTAACAGCTATCTCTATCATCCGCCCCCTATTAGTTACACGCCAAGCTATCACCAATACCATCATCAATTCTGTTCTATCCTCGACAAAGATCTTGTCTCGTAGGGGGTCCGCAAATAATGTTCTTTTCCGGCATTAGAACCATTTGTAATAATCGTGCCATCTATTACAACAATTTTAACGCCAGCACAATCGCCAAAGTGAACACAATCATTAACCGCAACACCATTTTCAACAGTAATACTTTCCGCAACAACAATTGGTGAATGATAAAGATAAAATAAATTGGTGACTGTATTGTTGCAACAATACAGTCACCATCAAATATACCATTCCCGACAGCAACACAATCCCCAACACCACCATCACCATCCTCAACAACAATCTCCAACCCCAAAAAGCAACACAATCCCCAATAAATAAATCTTCCACAATAATTACACCAACTGTCTCCAACACTCAGTCTTCCCCAAAATAATCACATCTACCCCACGATCTGAAGGAAATAAAAAAATAAAACATTGAAATGATGATAAATAATGACGCTTTTTTACGCTTTGTTTTATCAATCCGGATTTTAGTGTATATAAAAAGCGGATTTAAATATCCGGAAGCTGAGAAAAACGGAGTCAAGGTGTCTAACTAAAGAGTTTTAAACAGCTTTAATATCCTCACCTAAATATTCATGAAGATAAAACAAAATAAGACACAAAAAACACAGCAGGACGGACGAGAAAAACACCGATGTGGGAGAAAAACTTAATTATATATCTCATGTTTATTGTCATGTTTGATTTTTGTCGCTGGCTATAAAGCGATTTATTTATTTTATTGACATTTGAAAGTCGTGAATTGCATTTTCACTCAAAAATCTTAAGTTATAATAGTTCGTAATATTAATTAAATTTGTCCCCCTGTGTTTTATATATATATATGTTATTACTATTGTATCCCTTGTTATAAATCTATAATTTCTTTCTTATAAATATATGTGAGAGGTATTAGGTATCTGTGGGCGGTTCAGGTGTTTGGTCATCTGTCGCCGTTAGAATAAGGCGCTTTTGGTATGAGGTGTTGCGAGTATTTTGTCCTGAGAGTATGAGGCGCGAAGAGTATTAGGGGTCGTGGGTTTGAAGTGCCTGTGGTATAAGGCGCTGAAGGTAAGAAGTGATGCGGGTATTAGATACTGATGGTATGAGGTGGTGTAGGTATTTGTAGTTGGGATATAAGACACTGCTGGTATTAGGCGTCGGGAATACAATGTGCTGCGGATATAAGGCACTTTTGGTATACCAGTTTACCGCATACCATGCCGAGGGTATTTGGCAAGAGGGTAATAAGGTACACAGGGTATGAGGTACGAAGTGTATAAGGTACCGAGGATATACTTTACCTCCTACAGGCATGCAGTTTTATCTACTATATATCCTCCTATAGTTTCTATGATATACATTATTTATTTACTCAATTCTTTATTTCCAAATAGATATGGAATATTGTATTTTATATTATTATTTTAGTTATATTTGCTAAATTACATTTTGCATAAATATTTATTGCAAAAAAATTGTCATAAAATTCTTATATAATGATGCAATCCAATTTAGCAAGCAACTATAGCGACATCAGATAGCGGAAATTCCTTTAGCGTAACACCTATTGGGCAGCCGTTGTTGCAATCATTCTAGGCTGTTGGCTATAGCAATATTACATATTGAAATCTTTCTGGCAAGGCAGCAACGGCATGCGTTCTGGCGCTCCTGATATATTAGCAGCATCAGTGTGTTTACGTAATTAACCTGCTCGTCCTCTCGATTTGTCATTCCGTAAACAAATACAGTTATTTTCACCTAACTAGAAACGTGCGAGCCCAAACAACCCCCTTAACCTATCGAAGCCGACATACAAAAACGCCAATATTATGGTGCTTAAATTTTCACGAATGCGTTGCATATTTTTAATGGCTTGGTCGACTCCGTAAAAAAAAATGCAACGTATTAGGTGAGAGGACATGTTGAGAATTAGCGCATTAGTAATGTAATGGGTGTGAACTAGTGTGCTAAGCGGCAAAGGAGTCGCTGGGTGAATGAAAAAGGTTTTGAACTTGGAGAGTTTTGCAAAAAATTTTTGAAGTGTAATCTTAAACCCGGGTTTAAGGAGTAGCTTACTGGGCTTATACTATGGTCTAGGGGGAAATATGTTCTGGGATTTGAACCCGTGTCTAAGGTGTGTTTATATATGTGTGTGTGCTTTCCGATGCAATCCAAACAATAGCCAGAAAAAATCAAGTAACTGTACGTTGTCAATATTCAGTAACGTATGTTGTATTTGGTTCTCTTACGGTTGCTAATTCGGCTAATTTTGGTATTCATTTTCATTTCACTTTCCCCAATTTGCCATTGAATGAGTATAAAATTAAATAATTATTTATATTTAAAAATAACAATTGTTGTAAATGGTGAAATGTAAATTCTTTATTTTTCCTTTTTTTTCATATTGTATTTAGTTATATAATAGTAACCTTTTTATTACGTATTTATTTAATCATTTACTTTGTTATTTATTTGTGTATTTCAAATGTATTTGTAGTTATTATATTTGTTATTTGATTATATATTTGTTTTCATTTATTTAATTATTTGTTTATTTAATTGTTTGTTTAATTATTTATTTAATTATTAGTTTATTTAATTACGTGTTTATTTAGTTATATGATACATAATATTTGTTTATTTATTGATGATACATAATATAATAATTTGGCCATTACTTTAAAATCTAGCCAAGTATTTAATTGTTTGATAAATTATTTAATTAATTGGCAAATTATTTAATTACATGGCAAGTTATTTAACTGTAAACAAAACATTAATTTATTTAAAACAAATAATTGGTAAGTTGTTTAATTATTTGTTAAATTATTTGTCTTCTGGCATATATTTAATTATTGATTAGATCATTTAATTAATTAGTAAAATTATTTAATCATTCGCGAAATTATTTAAATGTTTAAATTATTAAATAATTTGGCAAATTATTTAATTATTTGGTAAATTATTTAATTGTTTAGTAAATAATTTAATAATTTGGTATAAAATGTTACTATTTTTTATATATCTTAATATATTTATTTGTTAAAGTTATTTTTCTTGTAGTTATGTCCATTACATTGTTTTTGTTTTGTTAGTGAATGTTTAATACCAAAAAATTTAAATGTTGCTTTTAGTGTTTCGTTTTTGCTGTTTTAATAACTTTTCTCTGATTTTTGTTTTTAATGTTACTGTTTAGCTTCTCAATTGTGTTATTATTGTTGATGTGGAAATAGTTATTATTGGTATTTTTTGGTATTATTACTGTTATAACTTGTTGTTGGTATTTCAGTCTTTATCAATCATTAGCATGTTAATTAAATTCATTGTTATTAACATTTTATAATTTATATATAAGATAACAGAAGTTAAATAACATCATATAACAACATCATCGTCATTTACCCTTATAATTATCATTTTTATCATCATTATTATAATTAGTAGTAGCGGTAGTGTTATTGTTATTAATTAATTGAAATTATCTATTTTTCTCATTAAATATAATACAATAATACGGGTATTGTTTGTTTTTCAAACTGGGCATTATATTCAGGGTTTTAAGTTGCAATGAATGCAAAAAAGCTGAATAAATAAACGCATAAATACTGATTCATTATCTGATTCATATGATTCCAGTCAATTTCGATCAGCTGTCTTACGAAGAAGTTCCTTGTACTCAAGTCCAGCACGAGGTGTGAGCGTAAGCTGTCGGTTCATTCACAAAACAACATATACATGAGCCTTCCGTAAATAAGCTGATATTTACATAACTCTGCAAGCCACACTGCATTGCTTATAAGATGAGAGAGAGAGGGGGGATCCTCTCGCCTCGGTCAGCTGACAGAGTTGTAAAATTTCAACTTCATTCAGAGATATTATCCTGATGTGTCAATCTACGAAGCTTCATTGAGAAGACACATGAATTGACGTGATTGTGTTGTATCGTCTGGCAATATATATCTATATTTTTTTGTTATTTAAATAGACATACACAAGTGCTAAATATAGTTAGGCTGACCCACGGCAGAGATACATACTCCACCCTCTCATTCATAAGGTTTATAAACACAACTTGATTTATACACAAATATAATGCATTCCACAAGAATCTATGAATTTAAATATGATTTAATACTACGTATTTTACGATCCACGCGCGTCTCGACTTAGTTGTTGATTTTTCGTTTTGTTTTCTCTATTTGTTTTGTATCTTAGGATCGGAAGCCTTAATCTCAGCGAGATGAGTGACTGACAGCTTAATAAATGGAAATTTAATAAATAAATATATCGGAAGGTAAATAATTATGCAGCACATGTCAAAATAAATTATATACCGATAAATATTCTGATGTATACAGGATGGTGATGATGACGAAGATGATAATGATGATTCTAATGATGACCAGGATGAGGATGATGAGGATAATGATAACAATTTAAAAAATAGAAAATGAGCATGACAACTTTGATAATTTATGATTAGCTTAATATTATTTTTAAAATAATAATAACAATATGATTAAATAAACGATAAACAAATTATTCACTAAAACTTCAAACTGTCAACACTTGTTTTTGTAAATAATACACACACACACTCTCTCTCTTTCTCTCTCTCTCTCTTTCTCTCTCTCTCACACACACACACACATATTATGTGAGCCTCACGGCTGAGTAGACAGCGCTCTAGGGTCGTAGTCCTAAGGGTCCGTGTTCAATTATAAGCGCTGAGAATCGAACCCGGGCCACAGAATTACGAGTCCCGTGCGCATTCCACTCAGCTACGTCCATCCACACCCCATGTGTGTGTGTGTTAGAGAGAAATATATGTAGTAGACATAATAGAGGAAAAATAGGTGGACTACAGAAGCGGGGTCCAAGAGCTAGTAGCTCAATTGTGCAGGTACAAATAGTAAATATAAATAGTAAATACACACACACATTCACCCCCTCCCCGCTTACACATGCTCATTCACACATACCTATCCACTTGCCAATCCCTTCCCCCCTTCCCACACTCACACTCTAACCTAGTTCCTTGCCCAACCCTCCCCCTCCCCTCCCCCTCTCCCACACACATACACATACACACACAGACACACACACACACACCAAAATATCCATTCACAAATCATGATCAACACCTACATTGAGTAACTACACAGCAGAACACACAACCTCAGGGTACCGGTCCAACTTATGTCCCAGATTGACTTACAAATGATGCAATTCATGTTTAAAGAATATTAAAAAAAATGGTTTGGGAGAGGAGAGGAGGGGTGAGGGGATACAGGGAGGGGGGGGGGAAGAGGGGAAACTCATTGATTTTATAATTCAGCCATTCATATCATGCAGATTTACGTGTTTGGTGTGAAGATTGTGAAGTTATTTTTTGTTTACACTGCCCAAGAGTTTAGAGACACGAGGAATGGAATTGTTAGGAGGCATTTTTGTTTTTGTTTTTCTACTAATCTTGTTATGGTTTTATTAAATGATTAAATATCTTTATTAAATACCTTTTTCTGGTTGAAGTTTTTTGTTTTGGATATGTTGACATTAGCACTCAACGGGCAAAATATGTGGCAATAAAATGAGTAATAATTTAATTATACAAACAAATATGATGATAAATTCAGAATATTTAGATGTTAAAGGAAAGGAATGTGTGTGTGTGTGTGTGAGAGAGAGAGAGAGAGAGAGAGAGAGAGAGAGAGAGAGAGAGAGAGAGAGAGAGAGAGAGAGAGAGAGAGAGAGAGAGAGAGAGAGAGAGAGAGAGAGAGAGAGAGAGAGAGAGATTAACTATCCCAGTTACCTAACAGTGGTTACTGGGACGTGGTGTTAGTCTCTCTATGGGTCCCCTACGCACCTGCCAGCTTTCCTTTGTGTCTTATGCCTGTTGCGTTCTAATTTAGTTTTCCTGACTTTCGAATTCTTTGTCTAACCAGACGCTAGAGAGATGGATGGAGGTGGCTTCCAACTTCTTTCAGCGCATTCCACTTGTTGATCACCCGTACGAGTATTTCCTTACATTCTTCCGGCTCATTGATTTACAAAGTCAAGCTTCAATACCTTAGACCCACTATTTGGTGGCTAAAGAGTTGAATTCCAATCACCACGTAATTCAGTAGGGTTCAGTGTTGATAGGCTTCTGCCCCATCGTGGCCGAGTGGGTTAAGACATGTGTCTGAGAATCACCAGAACCCTCTTTCAAGTCAAGTCATTACCCTTCAAAATCATTTTCTCATTGATATCCCGATATTTAGATTTCTTTAATATATGTATATATATATACTCATATATATATATATATATATATATATATATATATATATATATATATATATATATATATATATATATATATATATATATATATATATATATAGTAGGATTTTTATGTGTACTGTTATATGTGGTAATGCGGGTCTTGCCTTCACCTGTCTACCATTATTACAACCTCTTTGTTTTCAATGGGGATTTGTGCTCGGGGCCAGTTACAGTCACCGTCATTGTTTTGTACTCAAAAATCTTTCCTGAAATTGTGGAAATATGATTATGCCTTGATGTCTCACTCTACCCAGGATTCGAACCCAGGTACTACAGCTAATAAAGACAGTGTGCAGAACATATTGTGCCAAACACGATAGATAATGGGGGCGTGTTTAAGGTGATAATGGGGGCGTGTTTAAGGTGATAATGGGGGCCAAATTGCTGTCTTCCTGCACGGGGGGAACATCTATATGGCAGCTATGTGTGACACTTCTTGTTTGGGGGGGGGGAGGAAGGAGCAGTATTCTTGAGGAAGAATGTTGAAGAAAAGTTGTATTTATGAGACTGTCAAATACACATCTCTCCTGTATTACAGAGTTGGATATTATTATTATTATTATTATTATTATTATTATTATTATTATTATTTCAAGGACATGAACAAATCCACAAGGGCCCTGGTCAAGATTCGAACCTGTGCGCTGGGGAGTTCCTAGACGCACTCTAGTCATGGTCAGTGCTAATCTTGTGATGGTGATCACCATCATTTACAGTGCGGTCATCTTCACTATCAATATTACGTGATACATAAACATGTAAATCTCGTGAGTGAAGAATACAACAAAGACTTCGAGGAGCGGATGTTCAGATTCTTTGAATAGCGGAATAATCGATTACACGAATATTGCATTACCCTAATACGGAATTACACGAATATTGCATTACGAAAATATTGTATTACGTAAATATTGCTTTACACGAATATAGCATCACCATATTTTTTTGAGAAACTGGGTTCTAAGGTGATTGAAACAACAAGAGACCCAACAGCTTCCAGCTTACTTTTCCGGTGCCTCAGTGTGGCGATACAGAGGGAAAGTGAGCACTGAATTCAGGGTTTCTGCCCGCGATCTGAGGAGCTGGAGGAACTCGACAACTAATGATAATCAACTTTATACCTTGTCTGTAACTCATATTTTGTAATAAAGTTGAAATAAAAGGAACACTTACAGATATATATAAGGGGTGGTAGAAGACAATATGTGCAAGAACAGGAAGGAACCCGATAAGGCTCCCTCGGGTGCTGCATATCCTCTTCTTCGAGATTTGAGGGGTCCCTACAAACACAACCAGAGGTGGTACCACTATATATATATATATATATATATATATATATATATATATATATATATATATATATATATATATATATATATATATATATATATATATATATATTTTGGACATTGTCTTCTGTGTTGGCATCGATATGTTCTTGTCTTAAGACAAGAACAAAGACAAGAACATATCGATGCCAACACAGAAGACAATGTCCAAAATAATAGGCCAATTACACTGGATTAATATATATATATATATATATATATATATATATATATATATATATATATATATATATATATATATATATATATATATATAGATATATATATATATATATATATATATATATATATATATATATATATATATATATATATATATATATATATATATATATATATATATACATATATATATATATATATATATATATATTCTGTAAAAATGTGTTCTGCAACAAAAGACAATACAGCCAACAAGTTTCAAGTGAGAGACAGAAAATAAACAAAAAGGAATCGGCAGTTTTGATAATGACTTAAATTACCCAATTACCGCGTAGTTACCTCCAATTTCTCCTCACCTTCGCCAACCTTTTCAAATAATTAAAGAGATATATACGTCAGTTACAGGATACCGTACCGGTGTTTATGTGTGTTTGTGTGTATGTGTGTGGATGGGGAGTGTTTGTGTGTGAGTGTATTTTGAGTGTTTTTGGTGTGGGTGTTTGTTTGTGAGTACTCGCCTTTTTGTACCTACTTATTTGCGTGTTTTTTTTGTGTGTGTGCTTGTGAGTGTGTGTGTGTTTGTGTGTGAGAAAATAAGAAGCCTGGATGAAGTGACACACTGCAAGGATCTGAACGTAAAGATATATTAGAAGGTCCTAAGAGAGGGGACAAAGGTAACCAACTAAGCCATACAGATAATAAAACACACACACACACACACACACACACACACACACACACACACACACACACACACACACACACACACACACACACACACACACACACAATTCTCCACTGAGGGAGTCGAATCTAATGATCAACTTCAGTGTCATATTCCAGTCATACAAAACACTCATCAATATATCGAGGAAATAAATAAAATATTTCGGTTAATGAGTATCGAAATAAGAGGACAACATGGAAGCTAGAATGAACCACTTAGGGATATGACGAAACACGTCTTCAGAGTAATGGCTGTAAGCAAAGGGGGAACCAACTATACGAAGAAATATTGAATACCTTTAGTGATACCTTTTCACAGCCAATATGGCAAGGAACATTTGACGTTGTATGTAAAGCTGGAACCTAGGTATGTTATTGTTTGCAATCCGGCTAATTCACACAGGACAACAACTGCTCAAGAGCTACTCTAGCCCTCCCTCTCTTCTAACAACACACACACGTACTCTAATTTCTTTTACTCCTTCCTCTTTTCTTGCCTTCTCTTTATTCCCCCTCTTTGTTTCTTAGCATTTGGCGTCAAGGGCAAGAGGCTCTGCAGTCGCTAGCCCGGTGTGTGGTTTGTATGCGAGACGGGCAGGCAGCAAGCACTGAGAATTTTAACTTGTATCGATCAGAGATGATGGTCGTGGTTGGTGTGTGGCGGTGGTGGTGGTGGTGGGGGTTGGTGTGTGGTGGTTGGTGTGTAGTGGTGGTGGTTGGTGTGTGGTGGTTGGTGTGTAGTGGTGGTGGTGGTGGTGGTGGATGTGGGGGTTGGCGTGTGGTGGTTGGTGGTGGTGGTGGGGGTTGGTGTGTGGGGGTTGGTGTGTGGTGGTTGGTGTGTGGTGGTTGGTGTGTGGGGGTGGTGTGTGGTGGTGGTGGTGGTGGTGGTG